CAACAGATGAATCCAGCTACTTACGGCTACCTGATCTTTGACAAGCCAATTAAAAACATTGAGTGGGGAAAAGATCCCCTATTTAACAAATGGTGCTGGGTGAACTGGCTGGCAACCTGTAGAAGACTGAAAGTGGACCCACACCTTTCACCATTAACTAAGATAGCCTCTCACTGGATTAAAGATTTATACTTAAGACATGAAACCAGAAAAATACTAGAAGACAGGGAAAACACTTGAAGAAATTAGCCTGGGTGAATATTTTATGAAGAGGACACCCTGGGCAATTGAAGCAACATCAAAAATACACTACTGGGACCTGATTAAACTAAAAAGCTTCTGCACAGCCAAGAGCACAGTAAGTAAAGCAAGTAGATAGCCCTCATAATGGGAGAAGATTTTTATTATTTTATTTTATTAAACCTGACAAATGTTTAATAACCAGAATCCATAGAGAACTCAAATGTATTAGCAAGAAGAGAACGAGTGATCCCATCTCAGGGTGGCCAAGGGACTTGAAGAGAAATTTCTCTAAAGATAGCCTACAGATATATGAAAAAATGCTCACCATCCTTAATCATCAGAGAAATGCAAATCAAAACTACTTTGAGATATCACCTAACACCAGTAAGATTAGCCCATATCACAAAATTCCCAAACCAGAGATGCTGGCGTGGATGTGGAGAAAAGGGAATACTCCTACACTGCTGGTGGAAATGTAAACTAATACGTTCCTTTTGGAAAGACTTCTGGAGAACACTTAGAGAACTAAAAATAGACCTGCCATTTGATCCTGCAATTCCTTTATTAGGTATATATCCAGAAGACCAAAAACCACATTACAACAATGGTATTTGTATCAGAATGTTGATTGCAGCCCAATTCATAATTGCCAGGTCATGGAAGAATCCCAAGTGCCCATCGATCCATGAATGGATCAACAAACAGTGGTATAAGTACACCATGGAATATTATGCAACCATAAAGAAAGATGGAGACTTTATGTTCTTCATGTTCACATAGATGGAGCTGGAAAGTGTTCTTCTTAGCAAAGTATCACAGGAATGGTAGAAAAAGTATCCAATGTACACAGCCCTACTATGAAATTAATTTATAGCTTTCATATGAAATCTATAACCTAATAACAGCCTAAGAATATGGGGAGGGGGGAGGGAGAAGGATGGGGGAATGAGTGGAGGGAGGGGGATTGGAGGGATCACTTCTATGGTTTATCTTATAAGGGTACAAGTGAATCTTTCTAAGAGTAGAATATGAACATCTTAACAGAATAACTGAGAAAGTGACATGAAGGCTATGTTAACCAGTTTGATGAAAATATTTCAAATTGTATGTAAAAACACCACACTGTACCCCAGAATTGCATTAATGCACATAGTCATCATTTAATAAAATAAAATAAAATAAAGAAAACTGAATAATATCCATGAAGAAAATACACATGCAAATGTTTATAGCAGCATTGTCTATAACACACCCAAATGCCCATTGACAGATGAATTTTTAAAAACTTGTTGTATGATTGCATGTAAAATAGCAAATTATTCAGCCACCAAAAAATCAATAACATAATGATACATTCTACAACATAGGTGGGCCTCCAAATCATCATGTTAAATAAAAGAAGCCAGAAACAAATTGGGCACATATGACCTCTGAGGCCTTTACATGCTCTATCCACAATAAGCAAATACATAGAGACAGGAAAAAGATTAAAGATTACTACAAGATGATGGAATGGGGGGTGATTATTAATGCATATAGTATGTTTTGGTATAGTGATAAAAAAATTGAAAATAGCTGCTGGTTGCACAGCATTATAAAAACAATAAGTACCACTAAACTGTAAACTTTAAACAGGCTAACTATATGGAACTTTCCCCTCAATTTTTAAAGTGTCTTCACTTCCTGAATTACTCCATAGATTTAATGCAATCCAGGTCAAAATAGCCACTGGCTTTTTTTTTTTTTTTCAGAGAATGACAAGCTCTTCCTAAAACTCCTTATGTAGATGAAAGGGGCTCAGAAGAGCTAATGTAGTCTTGAAAGAGAATAATAAAGTTGGAAGATTCACACCTGTTGATTTGAAAACTTGATGCAAAGCCACAACAATTAAGACATCAAGATTGCGTACAGCTGGCACAAGAGCAGATGTATGGATTAATGGAATAGAACTGAAAGCCCACAAACAAATCCTAACATTTATAGTCAATTGGTTTTTGACCAGAGTTCCAAGGTAATTTAGGGTTTTTTTTCTTCTTTTTGTGGGGGCTGGGTTTGAACCCACCACCTCCGGCATATGGGGCTGGCTCCCTACTCCTTTGAGCCACAGACACTGCCCAAATGCCAAGGTAATTTAATGGAGAAAGATTAGCCTCTCAATAATTATTACAATGAAGATAGGATTCATATTTAAAACTTTCCACCATGTCTGGCTCCTTATCTGTGGAAATTCATTTCGGTTACACTCAATTAAGCCTTGTCTATTCTATCAGCTCTTTCCCACCACACACTTGTACACCTCTACTGAAACCACTTGACCTACTTGAAAAACCCTCTCCTGTCCCTCACTGCAAGTATTTTCAGGTCTAATGTGCAGGACATGCAGAAAGCCCACCTAGGCTGAACCGATCTTTTCCATTCTCCCACATTCAGTGTAGAATGATGATGCCCATCTTCACTTAATGGCAGCATGTTTTATCTTTTCAAAATTCATTGTGATTATCTCCATTTCACATGAGATGTGCTTTTTCTTTCTCCTCAGGTGGATTGTATTTATTTAAAGAAGAGAGTCAAGGCATTCTAATGTGATAATTTAATTTTACATCTTCCATGACTGCTAGTGCTGATTCATAAATATAATATAGAGGTAAAATGCTTTTCAAAGATTCAGGACTAATCATTTAAACATCCTTAGTACATTACAGACCTATACAATGAACCACAAAGTGCACAAACAATCAAATAACTGAACTTCTGTTTGCATTTTACCTGCTCCATTTTGATCAGGAAACAATCGATAAAGTCCCGAGGATTGTTAATATCCAGTGATTCTTGGTGTTTTTTTACTTTCTCCAAAATATAACTTTTTGTAAGAGCAACATTTTTAAGTAATTTGTTATGAATTCCAGGGAAATAATCAATGAGAGCAGGGAAATTATTGCATAGCTAGAATAGAAAATATAATTTATTTAATAGTAAACATGTAATAAATATATATAACGTACATCAAACCATGATTAGACATTATAGGTATATTATGAATAAAATATAGTATCCATATTGATGGGGAAATTTTATTGTTCACATATAGTAATTCTCTATGTTTATAAAAATACCTAAGGGAGAAAATTCTGACCTGAGAATGAAAGATGTTCATCATTTCCATATATCATTTTTATTGTATAAAACACCTGTATATCAATTCTCTCAATTTTTTACACCAACTCTTGCCTATAATCTTGAAGGATAAGATGGCATGAATTACTATGATATCCATGTTGTAGATGACAGCAGAGCTCAAGTGAATTGGGGCAACTTAACTGAGAACAGAGAACTAGTTCCCACTACTTTTATTTCCTTTAAGCAGCATCAGAAGTGAAATCAGTATTTTAGAAGAGGCAGGGTCTCAAAGGTATCCTGAAACACACTGTGCATCAAAGTAGTTCAATGACATCTCTAACCACACAATAATTATTTAGATAGAGTAAATAGGTAGGATGTACCAATTCAGCACAGGGTAAAATTGTGACACTTGTTTCTGGTTCATACACTATAAAACCAATAATTTTGTCATTCCTAACCCAGTTACCTTGTCAGCAAGGATCTCATCCCAAGCATCAAATATCCCTGCTTTAGGCAGAGTTTCCTGGTGCCTTCTATGGACCCAAATATTCTCCCTCCTTGAAAGAGGTATTCTCTTTCTAAATAAAGATGATTTGGCCAAGTAGTATCAAGAAGTGTTCTCTAAATGTTGATCGAGGATAAGCCCTGTGGTGAATGGAAGTCTTCAGAAAGGGCCTGGCTGTTGATTGATTAATATGGGCATATTTTGGGTTGTCATCCATGTACTTTATAGAAACTGAGGCTTTAAGATTTAGTGGAAAAAACAACTGCTTACCCCTATGTTTGGCCATCCATTTTCTGCATGTAAAATAAAGAACTCAGCCATCTATCCCAGAAGGTGACTTCATAAATGTCTGGGAAGGACAGCAGAATCCAATTTTGACAGCTTGATCCATATAGAATTTTGGATTTTTCAGAGAGAAAAGCATAAGCGGTTCCTTAGCAAGAGGAAATCTTAGACTCACCTGGATCCATGGGGAGCTCAGAATCCTGAAGTTTTCATTCAGTCTCCCCATCAAGGTAAGAAAATTCTGATCTTTGTAATCAAAACGATCCTGGAAAATGATGGAGCAGATCACATTGCAAGGAGCACAGCCCAGGATAAAAGTGGGATCACAAGATAAAGCTAAAGGATTGGAAAAATACAATTAAAATAGAAAATAATTTTTCTTTGTTAACAGGTAAAGGGAATTGTGAAATTTAAAGCAATATCTTACCAGCACATTCCCCTAACATTAAAAAAAAAATCCAATATACATAAAATGAACACTTCATTTTCACCTTAATTCTGAGTTATACGTTATGACCTACCTGGCGAAGTAATGGAATTTTGCATGTGGCAATTCATATCCATTGCCTGTATCTACACTCTTTTAACTTCAAGTGTCTGTTCTTTTGGAAGGAAAGAGAAAGCATTTTAAAACCTAGTAATTCCAGTTGGTAGAGAAGAATCACATCTGCCTACAAAGGCTGAGAATAGTAAAGCACAGAGAAAAAAGGAGTGAAAAGTTTGGACCTGGATAGTATTGACACCTAAGAATAGCTGGAAGAATTCTGAGTTGGAATAGTAGAGAGGAACAAAATAGAGAAAGAGACTGTGGGTGAACTCATGGATTTGAAGGCACAAATGTGAAAATTATAATATATCCATGTTACATGAGAGAGAAAAAACTATTTTAATAATATAAATGAACAATGCACCATAGATGTTTTAAAAATGAGTTTTTTTGGTGGTTTCATGTTGCTGGGTTTTGTTTGTTTGTTTGTTTTTGTAGTTTTTGGCCCGGGCCAGGTTTGAACTCACCACCTCCGGTATATGGGGCAGGTGCCCTACTCCTTGAGCCACAGGCACCACCCAATAAAAGTTAGACAAACAGAAATAAAGTGAAATATTTTCATTTTTCATTTCAATGTTTAAAATATTTTTCTTTTTTTCACAATTATACTCATTTCTTAGTAGTTTTGAAATACCATTGCATCATGCACATTAGGTGAGGTCTTCCCAAATACCCTCCCTCTTGCCCCCCATATACTCCCTGCCCTCCCAACTCTCTCCTCTTCCCTTGTTACTTTTTTAGTTATGTTTTGCCATTCATATGAATGTGTAGGTGATTATATATTGATTTCATAGTAGTATGGAGTACATTGATTTTTTTTTCATTCTTGAGATATTTACTAAGAATATGTTCCATCTTCATCCAGGTAAACATAAAAGATGTGAAGTCTCCATCTTTTTTATGGCTGCAGAGTATTCCATGGTGTACATATACCACAATTTGTTAATTCATTCATGAAAGATGGGCACTTGGGCTGTTTCTATGTCTTGGCTATTATGAATTGGGCTGCAATAAATATTCTGGTGCAAATATCTTTGTTGTAAAATAATTTTTGATCATCTGGGTGTATACCTAGTAGAGGAATTGTAGGATCGAACAGTAGGTCTACTTTTAGTTCTTTGAGTGTTCTCCAAACTTCTTTCCAAAAAGATTGTATTAGCTTGCATTCCCACCAGCAGTGTAAAAGCGTTCCCTTCTCTCCTCATCCATGCCAACATCTGTAGTTTTGGGAATTTGTGATATGGGCTAATCTCATTGGAGTTAGATGACATCTCAAAGTGGTTTTGATTTGCATTTCTCTAATTAAGGATGAAGAGCATTTTTTCATATGTTTGTAGGCCATGTGCCTGTCTTCATCAGAGAAGTTTCTGTTCAAGTCTCTTGCCCACATAGAAATAGGGTTATTTGTTCTTTTCTTATTGATTAGTTTGAGTTCTCTGTAGATTTTAGTTATCAGACCTTTGTTGGAAGCATAACCTGCAAAAATCTTCTCCCATTCTGAAGGTTGTCTTTTTGCTATACTTACTGTGCTTTTGGCTGTGCAAAAGCTTTTTAGTTTGATCAGATCTCAGTAATGTATTTTTGGTGTTGCTTCAATTGCCTGGGGTATTCCTCCTCAAAAAATATTCTCCCAGGCAAATTTCTTCAAGTATTTTCCCTGCACTCTTTTCTAGTATTTTTATAGTTTCATGTGCTAAGTTTAAATCTTTTATCCAGTGAGACTCAATTTTTGTTAATGGTAAAAGGTGAGTGGGGGGGTCCAGTTTCAGTCTTCTACAAGTCACCAGCCAGTTTACCCAGCACCATTTGTTAAATAGGGAGTCTTTCCCCAACTGAATGTTTTTGATAGGCTTATCAAAGACCAAATGACACTAAGTAGCTGGGTTGATCTCTTAGTTTTCTATTCTGTTCCATAAATCTACCTCTCTGTTCTTATGCCAGTACCTAGCTGGGTTTTGTTTGTTTGTTTTTTTGTATTTTGAGACAGAGCCTCAAGCTGTTGCCTTGGGTAGAGTGCCATGACATCTCAGCAAACAGCAACCTCCACCTCCTGGGCTCAAGATTCTCCAGCCTCTGCCTCCCAAGTAACTGGGTCTACAGGTGCCTGCCACAATCGCTCAGCTTTTTTTTTTTTAGGTTGCAGCCATCATTGTTGTTTGGTGAGCCAGGGTTAAATTTGAACCTGCCAGCTCAGGTGTATGTGGGCTGGTGGCTTAGCCATTTGAGCCACAGGTGCCAAGCTACAGTACCATGCTGTTTTGATCACTATAGATGTGAGGCATAACCTGAAGTCTGGTAACATGATGCCTCTTGATTTGTTTCTATTTCTGAGTAATGTGTTGGCTATTCAAGGTTTTTTTCTGATTCCTCATAGAACAAAGACACATTTTCAAGCTCTGTAAATTATAACAATGATGCTTTACTAGGAATTGCATTAAATCTATAAATAGCTTTGGGTAGTATGGACATTTTAACAATGTTGATTCTTCCCAGCCATAAGCATGGTATGTTTCTCTATTTGTTAACATCTTCAGCTATTTGTTTTCTCAGAGCTTCATAGTTCTCAATACAGAGATCTTTCATGTTCTTCGTTAGGTAAATTCCCAGATATTTTATCTTCTTTGGAACTACTATAAAAGCAATAGAGTCCTCGACTATATTTTCACCTTGACTAGTGTTGACATATTTAAAAGCTACTGATCTGTAAGTATTGATTTTGTATCCTGAGATGCTGCTATATTCCTTGATCACTCCTAAGAGTTTTGAAGTTGAGTCCCTGAGATTTTCCAGGTATATAGGACCATATCATCAATGAACAATGAGAGTTTGATCTCCTCTGACCCTATTTGGATACCCTTGATTGCCTTCTCTTGTGACAGCTAAGACTCCAATTGCTATGTTAAATAGCAGTGAAGACAGTGAGCATCCTTGCCTCATTCCTGAGCTGAGTGGAAATGTTTTCAATTTTATACCATTCAATATGATATTGGCTGTGGGTTGGCTATAAATGGCCTCTATCAGTTTAAAAAATGTCCCTTTTATGCCTATTTTCTTAAAAATTCTGACCATGAAAGGATGTTGGATGTTATCAAAGGCTTTTTCTGCATCAATTTAGAAAATCATGTGGTCTTTGCTTTTTCTTTTATTGATGTGATGTATTATATTTATAGATTTGGGTATGTTGAACCAACCCTGTAACCCTGGAATAAAACCAACTTGATCATGGTGTATAATTTTTTTGATGTGTTGTTGAATCCTGTTTGCTAAGATCTTATTGAATATTTTTGCATCAATATTCATTAATGATATTGGTCTATAATTTTCTTTCTTTGCTGAATGCTTTGCTGGTTTGGGAATCAGGGTGATATTTACTTCATAGAATGTGTTGGAAAGTATTCCTTCTTTTTCTATGCTTTGGAAAATATTGTATAATATATAGGTACTAGTTCCTCTTGAAAGGTTTGATAGAATTCAGATGTGAAGCCATATGGTCCCAAACTTTTATTTTTGGGGAGATTTTGTATTGATGATGCTATTTCAGTGATTGGTATAGGTCTATTCAAGATTTCTAATTCTTTCTGGTTGAGTCTAGGAAGGTGGCATGCTCCATGTATTGGTCCATTTCCTTGAGATTTTCATATTTCTGGGAATAGAGATTTTTGTAGTAATCATTGAGGATTTTTTGAATTATTGAGGTGTCTATTGTTATTTCCTCTTTATCATTTCTGATAGATTATATTAGAGATTTTACTTTTCTATTTCTGGTTAGGTTGGCCAAAGGCTTATCAATTTTATTAATCTTTTCAAGAAACCAACTTTTGTTTTTCTGATATTATGAATGATTCTTTTGTTTTCAATTTCATTTAATTATGCCCTTATTTTGGTGATTTCTTTTTTTCTACTCAGTTTGGGGTTGAAATGCCTTCCTTTTCCAGTTGCTTGAGATGATCCATTAAGTTCTTGGCTTCCTCTCTCTCTGTTTCCTTGATAAAGGCTTCCAATGCTATAAATTTCCCTTTTAGAACTACCTGTGCAAAACCTATAGGTTTTGATAATTTTGTCTTCATAAAAAGATTTTTTTTCCTTCTTAGGAAGTAAACACTCATCATTTCCATTCATCTTCCAAATTCAATTATTTGTGCAGAACCAGGCTTTGTGGTTCCTGGAACAATGATCTCTATAGCCATCAACAGAAGTATGTTTATACAAAATTTCAAATTTGATCATAAGTTAAGTCCACTATTTTCTTTTTGGTAAAGAGGTTAAATTATAAGAAATATTGTCTTTTTTGATATGAACAACTTGATATCTTCCTGCACTATAATAGTTTGAGATTTTAACACCCCTTTGACAGTTTTCAATAGATCCTCCAAGAAGAAGCTAAACAAAGAAATAATAGACTTAAACCTGACCCTAGAACAAATGGACTTTACAGACCTCTACAGAACATTTCACCCTAATAAAACTGAATATATATTCTTCTCATCAGCCCCTGGGTCATCCTCCAAAATAGATCATATCCTAGGACACAAGTCTAACCTCAGCAAATTTAAAAGTATAGAAATTATTACTTGTATCTTCTCAGTCCACCATGGAATAAAAGTTGAACTCAATAGCAATGGGAATCTTTGTACTCAAACAAAGTCATGGAAGCTAAATAATCTTAGGCTCAATGATAGCTGGGTCAAAGATGAGATTGGGAAGGAAATCACCAAATTTTTGGAACAAAATGATAACAAAGACACAAATGAGAGACCCAAGAGATGAACCCAGCTGTTTATCATCATTT